CACTGCCTCCAAGTACTGAGGAATAACAGCACACACGCGTAAGCCGTGAGTGAATGGGATCACCCTCCTTCAGCACTGTGAGTTTCACACCCTCAGTTCAGTACCAGTTCAGAAGGATGTGGGTTTTTTTGAGAACAGAGGGAGCCAACACTCATCCTACAGCTCTGGCTTTACAAAAAAGCAGGAGAGGTTCAAGGAGGAGAGAAGGTAGGTGGACCTGAATTGGCTTCACACAGCACATGACCTGCAATCTGTTCAGATGGAAAAGTTTATGGAAAGAGTCTGATTCAGCAGTCTCCAAGCACTTGTCCATGCAGCAGTGGACAGGGTACCATCCACAGCACTGCACGTTCAGGGGGTGGAGGAAAAGTGGTGTGTGAGGGGCTGCATGGAGTATATCTTACAGGTGGTTTCCTCATTGCAAGGGCTGCTGAGTGCCACAGATCCTTTTGCCCAGGCAGTGAGAGGTACCAACGCTCTCCCACAGAAGTGCTTTTCTGCCCTGCCCTTGGTGAGCTCAGCCTCTGTCCCCGAAATGTTTGTGTGCCTGGCCACAGAGACACTTGTCCTGAACAGTGAAGGAAGCCTGTGCACCCAAGATTATTCACATCAGCCGTGTGTGACACTTACAGGGTTAAGAGCACAGGTCGCCCCTCGAGGCTGGCAGTTGGGTAAGATGATGATTATGGGACTTTTTCCAAATTAAAACAATGAACTTACAGGAGAGCTCAAAATAGCTGCCAGCCTCATTACATCGCTTTCCTGGCATGAGTTAGCCAGACAAGAGAGTAAGAACTCAACACTTGTATTGATTACGCCCAGACTAAAGACCAGGCCTGATGGTTACAAACCCATGAGCTGTCCTCATTAAGTGTTCAGTCCCCAGCAGTGGGAGGCACATGAGATACCCCTGAACTTAAGCCTAAAAACAGCCTGACTCACCACCAGAAGCACTGGCCCTGAATCCAGCCTGAGGGTCGAGCAAAATCCTCTCTTTTAAAATTCAGATGAAAAGTCTTGATTTGGCCCACCTAAGCTACACCTGTGTCTGTCAGCAGTCATTCTACTCTCAGAAGTGAAATTGTACCTGTGGGGAAGAGAGATTTGAATCAGTCCCACAGACCAGTAATTTAAGAAACAGGCAATATTCTTCTTTACATGTTGTAAACTCTGTGTTGTCTGTCTCTGTGCTTTCTGACAGATGCTATCCACACTTCCTTTATTACACTTGCCAAACACTCCAGCTCTCAGTGGCAGCAGCTAAAGACAAGACTTTCAGTGCCAAAATTCACCATTTTTCATCTTAGTGACACTATGGTGAAGAGGCCCTGCTGGGGCTTTTTCGTTACGAGATTCTGCTATTTCAAAGTGCCTTTGCTAGAGAACAATTTCATATTGCTTAAACTATACAGGTATAATAAATTATACCTGTTTAAATAAAGCAATAAAAAAGCAACAGAGCTCCTTTTTTAACAGTTTAAAAGGGCTAGTATCAGACAGTTTATTCTTGAACAGAAAGCAGAATAAATCATACTGAAGATGACAATGTATCATTAGATATTCTAGCCATTACAAAAAACTCTCCCACCTCAAATCACAGAGGCCAAGTATTTCCATTCTTTTCTCAGGACTAAGCAAAGACTGAAGGCATAAGGATGCTTCCGTAGAAGTCCTGCAAATGAGCACTTCAGTCCTTACATCTTATCCCCTATTAGTTACAGACATTCCATTTGTAACTGAATGCAAATAGAACAGCACATCAACCATTTAGTTTTCTTGAAGAAAACAGATTGTCTTGGTACACATCTCATTATTTCCTCTCAGTTAGTTACTCCTGACTGTTAAAAGAGAATGAAAGCAGGGATGGAATAATAAAAGGAATAGAGAATTTCTAGCTTGCAATAGTAGGATTGAACTTTGACAAATTACAAAGAAAAAAACAAAAGCAAACCCTCAATGCATTGACTAAAACTCTGCTGAGGAAAGTGACAAAAAGAACAACTTTATTGACCAGCCAGAATGAAACCAGACAAAGTGAATGAGAGGACTAAATGATGCAGGCGATCAGTATTTGCATGTCTGACATACAAACAAAGGCTTCCATCTCCCTGTCCTTACCCAAGCAATATTCCCACTGACATCCGGAAACAGTGAACTCAGATAAGTTCTGGCAGGTTGAGCCTCAGATTTATTTTCACATTTTTAAAAAATACAGCTTTTTATTTATTCATTGTGAATAGATTAAAAATACAGCATATAGCAATATCATTCCAAAAGTCTGTCAAATATATAGTTTTTCTCTTCAAAAGAGCATCATAGAGTAAGTTGTGCATATTTCTGTAAACAACTTCCATTTTCAAATTATTGACAGTCCTATTTATTGTATAGCTAAATAATATGATACCACCTTAGGACAGAAGGTAGTCTACATCACTAAAAAACACATAGTATTTGCAAACAAAGGATTAATCATTGTAATTTTTTCACAGAGCTGTGTGCACATTTACATACCAGATCTACAGAGAACTGTCAGCAACTTCAGCAACTACTCAACTTAGGAAAGTAAACTACACCAAAAAGTATCAATAATTACACTCTATGTCCTTTACGTACACATCTGAGACAGGCACATTAAATCTCCGCTCCTCCCTATATGGTTGGTGGTGGTGTTAGCCATGCTTCCTTCTCAAGGAAAATCTCAAAGACAGCATCAACACCTTATGAAGAAAACAAATCCTTTTGTCTGAATTTGTTATAGTGCCTACACGGTATCGGTTCTGCACAAAACACTGACTGTTTGGCTGTCTTGCAGAGATAAATGGCACATTCACCTTTCATCCAGAGCTGATATTTTAATGCTATGTATGAAAGAGCAAAAAGGCCACATCCAAAAGAGGCTTTAGGCACCTAAAGCAGAACTTTGGAGAGGCAGTTAGAACATCTAGCTGACTTCCGATCCTACAAACTCTGGTTCTATTTCAGCACACTAGGTCCAAAAATTTGGTTATTTCAGTACCTAGCTTAATATCTACCAACTGAGAGCCAGAAATTAGACATTCCTCCATTAATGGGTGAAGAGCTTCACCCTCACTCTCAAAACAAAACAAAAAATAAAACAAAAAGGCCATTCGCACTACTTTCCGACACCACCTGCATTATACAGCAAGAAAATGTGTCCCTGTGTTGCAAGGCTACTCATACTACAGCTGCCTGGTGGTTACAGCACCCACCCAGAACTATGACATCCAAGGATACCTTTTCCTTCCCTCCTAGAAAGAATTCAGATCTTCCCACCAGACTTCCTTAACCACCAGGATACCACGTCTTTCAGACAGTGTCAGATGTTACCAACATCATGCTTAGATACTGTTTAAACAATAATTCAAGATCCACTTGCCATAAAGACAGTAAATGAGGAGCACAACTTTGGAGCTCAACGATGGGCACTCGCGAAGGAAAGAATGAACTGATTTCTGTTCCCTGAAGGGTTTCTACATTTTACAATAAATTAGTATTACTTGACTATGCAGGCAAGAAGCACCAATGAAATCAACTGCATGATCTAGCAGCCTGCTCAGCTTTAAGCATGGTTTTAAAAGCTTGGCTAAAGTGAGGCTGGTGAGCATTATAGGTCATTCAGTACTTCACAGGGGCTGCCCCTTATTCATATCAATTTACACCCTCAGGAGACTGTAAGGCCAAGAAGACAAAACCTTCCATCTTAATCTCCTGCAAAACAACTGTTAACCATGACCAAGAAACAGGAACAGCTTCTGTGCTATCTGCGTAGATGGCACAGCAGCTTTGGAAATAAAATACTGGACTTGGAAGACATTTATCCCTATGCAATGGTAATTCAACCACCACCATTTATTTGTCGTGCCATTACTGGTTAGGATTATGCAAACAGGACACGGAAATTCTAAGTGTTTGAGGATAATATTGTTTTCTCTTTTTAACCAGATTTTAAAATTTCTCTAAATGGTATTTGAAATCATTCACAGATAAATCACTATTTTAAAGCTATTTAAACCAGATAAATTATTTTCTATACATAGAAGTAGGTGAATAAACTCCTCTAACCTTTTCAAACATCGCTCTGGAAATGGTGGAAAGTCTATTCTCATTTTAAGTGAGATGATCTAGCTTCACTGAGAATTGAGATGTCACTGTAAAAATAACTTCAAATTACTCATATATTACAGATCTTGCTACCATACATCATTGGACAAATATCACATAAGATGAGTAGAATTGTGTACCACTAGGCTATTATATGGTGCAAAATGTGAAAATGAGAGAGATAGTTGGATGCCTCACCTCATCAGGAACACCAGTGATTTTCTGATGGCAAAATATGCAATGTTGGTAATGAATAAAACATATTCCACCCTGAATATCCTCACTGCCAATCTGAAGCATCTTCCCTGCCCCTCCCCAAACTGTAAGGATTCTATCTGGAATTTGTTTGAGAAGAATAACAGAAGTACTCAACAACACCAGCGTAATAGAATGGGACTACTTATTAGAATTAGTAGCTGCGTGCTTAAAGTGAAAATTTACAATCACATGCAAATTTGGTGAGATACACTAAAAACAATGAAGAAATGCTAAGAATTTAGGAAAATGTTTTTCTGTATTTGAGGAGGAGAAGAAAAATGTAAACATGCTGATCATTTGCTGCATAAAAAACAGAACGTGAAACCTAAACACCAGCTTAATTTTTTGCCAAAAACAAAGCTGATGTTTAGTTAGGTTCAGTTCTAACAGTTAAAAAAATACAAAAGGTCAAGTGTGTCTGTATTACAGCTTTAAAACACTAGCAGAAGTATGCTATGGCACCCTACATATCACTTCCATTTGGATTTCTCCCCTCAAAAAAAATTAACTAACATACAAAAAGAGAAACCGGTAACACCACATAAAAATATATCTTTTTAGCTGCAAATGCAGCAAGTCTATTAACAAAAATTATATACAAGAACTGCTTAATTGCGGTGTCATTCTTCCATCATCGCCCAAGCCTCTTCTGCTTTTTCGTAGTACTGATTTGCCAGTCTGCCTTTCATGGCTTCCATTGCTGCTTCTGCTGCTTCTGTGTACAGCTCACCTGGAGGAGGAAAAGGTATCAGTTATGTTGACAGGGTAAAGAAAAAACGTCTCTTTATCCTGAAGCAATTAAAGGACTAAAAGAGAAATTGAGGTCAATCTACAGGGATGGATGTATGGGTGTATTTTAACAGTGTCAGCAGAGTTCCATCAGCTCGGAATCTGGCTTTTGCCCTTCAAGTTGAAAGTTACAGACTGGCTGCTGATTGCTCTTCAATATATATGCAAGAATTGGAAATACGACTGATCCACAGGAGCCCCCAAGACAACTGTAAGACTTACATGTCTGACATGCAGATTACACAACAACTAAGACAATGTTGTGTAGGGTCTGGGAATCATGGGTGTAACTCAAAATACAAGCAGCAACCTGCAGTTCAGAGGCCTCACAGGGAGTGAAGGTTGCTCACTAGTGATGCAGGACGTCACAGGATTGGATCTGGCACCGCCCACTACCTCTGTCATCAGCAAGATCTCTTATTTCACTGTTTTCAGCCTTATATCATCCATCATCATTACAGGTTCATCTGCAAATCTGAAGGTATGGACCCTCTATGTTCTGTAACAGCTGAAGCAGGAAATGTATTTTTTGGGTACATGTTGGGAAAAAAAGTGAAGGAAAAGCAGGATTACTGATTACAGAAAAAAAAATTAGGACTCACCTGATCTCTGTGGATCCTTATTCAGGTGGAACCCTCCCGTCATTAACATCTCTGCTTCCCTGGCCAGCAGCAGATACCGGGGCTCATCCTGAGTGCCATCATATTCACCTCCCTCATCATAGTCGGTCATGTTCAGCGCAGCGTTGTACCAGTACAACGCCTCCTTCCAATCCTGTACTCTGAAGTTAAAAATACTTTTTGAAGATGGTTACCTTAGGAAGCAAATGTACTTTGCATTGGACATTCAGAATTCAATTTTGCACTGGCTTCTCAGAGCCTTGATGCTCTCCAAGAAAGCAAACCTTCTCACGGAGGCTCGCTAACTGCACTGCATCAGGTCACTATATCAAATGAGGCTGGGGTCACTTTGTGCAGTAATTACAGAGCAGAAAGTACCAGACTGAAGTGTCTTGCTGAACTCCAGAGTCTGAGCTTTCATTACTAGTTTATGATTTTGGTCCGGCATTTATGCTGGTGAAGATAATTGATTTAGAAACAATCTGAAGTTGCAGTGTGTCTGGTTTCATAAACACTTGAAAACCATCAATTTTCATTTTGAGAATGCTCAGCGCGCTTCCATGAGAAGTTGAATGTTATTTTAAATTTCACCATTGCCAAATGTGTCACTGTCGTGCAAAACAGAAAAATCACGCAAATAACAAAGACATGCTACAATGTAAAAGCAGAAAAATCGGTATCATCTCTTGTTATATTTGGTACTTAAGGAAATTAATATTTGTCCACTTTTAAAAACTCATCTAAAATGCTAAAAAAAAAAATAAACAATCCAATATACTGTGTGGTCTTTTGGCAAATCACAATTTATTTCTCAGTCACAATGCTGATCCTATCCCTTATATCAAGATAGGAGTGCTGGCCAAATTAAGAGAGACTTACGGAGGCAAAAGCATTTGTAAACTTTTAAAAACTTAAAATCATCCTTAATTAAAAGTAACACCCTCAGCATTAAGACTACATTCCTGTGAAATTTCCATTCCTACTTTTATTATGAGAAGCAGTGAAAGACTACAACTGCAACAAATACTTTGTTCATCTGACTGCATCTCGTCTATAGTCACTTTACGACTTCACCTATTTCTCCTGTTCTACAGCTTCTTTCATAGTTTAATTAGAAAAAAAAAAAACACTTCTAAAAAAAATTGTGCTTTTAAAAAGTCACTAAGGAGGAGACGTGGCCACTGCAAAAAGTTTTCATGTATTTTTAGGATACTACATCTCCAGCTCAACTCTTGTGTTCATTTTCTCCCACCAATCCCACAATTTTCAAGTATGCAACTCCCAGTGAAGTCAAAGGGAGTTTTATCACCAACTTCAGAGCAAAAACACTTGGCTCTCATACGGCAACCTCAGTGTGAGGGCTAAACTCAAAACATGCATGTGGCTCCAACACACATGCAGGTGTCCAATAACAGAAGTTATCTCTGATTTTCTTTCTGTGTTGATATATCATGGCCTAAACTCTGCTTTTATTCACACCTGAGTAAGTTTGAAGTAACTCCAAACCACTACTTCATAGCAGCTCTTAATGTGAATGAAAGACATGAAGCAAGTGCTCCTGCACCCCAGCCCCACCGTAGAGTACCACCAAGTTAAGCTACTCAGCCATGCACAGTACCTGTCTGAACCAAGATTTACACCTGTATCATATGCTCTTGCTACCAGAATCATGGAAGGCCGGTCTCCAGCTTCTGCTGCTCTCAGCAAGTAATCAAATCCTTTATTTCTGTTCTCCTTTGTGTCCTAGTAAAACAAACAATACCTTTAAAATGTGTGTTTTAAATAAAACCATCCCTTCCTTCCTCTAACACTAAACGTAGTTTCTCCAAGTCAGTAATGGCTGCAAGCGTTTAGTATGTCTGAGAAACAGGCCCAGCCATGAGAAACTAAGGAGCTGAACAGTAAAGATCACTTCAAAAAACTTCCCAAAGGTATGCAGTAATTTGCTGGCAAAAGCAGGAACAGGTAGCATTTTTTGCTGCTTTGTCCAAGTCCTTAATTCCAAAGTAATCCATTTTCTCTGCAGAGGCTACAGAACACAGACCTACAGTTATTGTTTTGTCTCCATTTCCTGCTATTCTTATGTTATTTTTACAATGGACCACAATTCTGCATTTTGGCATTTTCTTTGATCTTTCTGTTTACCTCCAGAGTGACCTCAGAAAGAATGTGATGTGGCAGCTGAGAGCACATGAGTCCTAACCCAACGATGGCTTCCAGCTCCCCACAGTCTGCAGCATGCTCCAGGTGAAACAGAGCTGACTCCTGATCCCATTCCTTGTCCTTCTCACAGAAACGCCCAGCTTCATGATAGCGAACCATGGCCAAATGCACCTAGAACACAATTGTACAGGAAAGAGACACAAGCATTAAGTGTAGATCTGCTTCTTCAAAAGCCTTGTGCCCATACTTAGGCGCAAAACCACCTCTCTGAGGTGACTACTTAACTAAAGCTGACTGTGTACCTCTGTGACTGAGCAGAGGATTAGTTTGATAACACACAGACTTGGAGCCTGATTTATGCCAGAATAGAGTAAACAGGGAAAAAGCAATGATTATACGCTGTGCAGCTGCCTCTCTGGTTCTGTAAGCTTAGACACATACAGCTTCATAAACTTGACTACTAGAGCTAAAAGACCTAATTCAGCAAGACTGTAGTTGCCACAACATCTTCCCACATCAGTGTGTCCTAAGCATTATCCCAGCAGGTTGCCACACCAGATCACCAGGTCTTAGGGGTATGTCCCAGCATATCTGCTAGAGTCTTGGAGACCTTTAGGAGGGAGTCATAGTTAAAGGCTCTCAGCCTGCAACTGCCTACATGCCAGCCAGCAGGGCAAACAGCAGTGACCATGGGTCACAGACTTTTGTGTACAGCAAGGGCCCTCACAGGAAAGGAATTAACCTGAGGCACAGGAGATCAAGAAGGTTATCCACGGTAAACTCCTCATACCACTGAAGCCTTTATTGTCAGCGGGGGCAGGATTTCACTCCAAACAAGCCATGGGATTTTGAGCAGGTTTTTTTTCTCCCATTCCCAAGGGAAAGGCAGGTTTCTTCTCAAACTGAAAGGTCTGAGTACATCTGAGGCTCTCAGGATATTCAGGAAGATCTAGACCGTGTGTTTTGAGTACAGGCTTAAGCCCATACATAAACCCAAACTTAATTCACATTTGCATTGTCTGGCATAGTCTGGAGTAAAAAGATTTGGTTCATGCTACGATTTTTCAGGAGCTCAACTTTGCCTATTTGCAAGGTATGTGGGTCAGGCACACCATACCTATCCCGCTCTATTTTCTCTGCATGACGCCTCTGGAAAGGCAGATCAACCCATAGCAAAGTCCTTCCCAAAGAAGCCCAGATGTTGCAAGTCCATAAGCAGATGGAATTCATGGGTTCCTCAGCTTCCATGTCCCTTATAAAGTATGATTAGGTGACAGAAAACTATAGACATGTTATTTATTTTCACCTGCACAAATAACTCATGCAGGGCAACACCACTATGTAAGTAGTAAATACAAAATGTTTCTTTCCAGTTGGAAAGAACAGGATTACTAGACCCATCTTACCTTCCCAAGGACTGACTTCCCAATTTTCTTTTCAAGTTCTAGTGCATTGAGCCTCTGAATTTCTTGGGCAACACAGGACGGTCTGTGGATGTGGACTCTGGAAGAGTTGTAGAGATTCCATTTCTCCACACTGATCTGAAATAGGGAAATATACTATTATTTCTATCCAAAATTAAAATTTCCATACTATTCATGTGGATTATCATCCAGAAATCAAAGCCTCCATTAATATTATTACTTAATAGTAAATACTGTAATTTAATACACAGCTTTCAAAAGTCATATTAGTAGCTGGATAAATGGTTATTATTATTATTTCTAATCTCAACATCGAATATCTTCCATGAATGACAGCAGTGAAGCAAAGCATTATGTTTAAGTTCTGAATCAGAAAAACGGTACTTAAAACATAAGCACCTGAATAGTCACACTGGAAACAGTGAGGTTATTCATGCACAAAAAAAATAATTACACCCATACTTTTCTGGTCAGAATTTCAGCTCAAAACATTTTAAACGCTGCTTGTATTCTGCAACTCTAGAAGAACAAAAAGTAACAATGCAGAAGATGATAGGCAGATGCATGCATTGGTGTTTCTCAAGATGTCCAACACAAACGAGAACGAACAATTTTTCAACATAATGGGTGGATGTGAGACAGTAGCTGAAAACAATCATATCAAAATGAAAGCCTTTGGAGGTAAACAGGGGAAGCACAACAGGGAAGGTTACTGGCACAGAACTTCAGACTGTTAAAGCTGTTTCAATTTCCTAAAACAGTAATATATAATGATTACAAGGAAATTCTGAAAAGCGTATCTAAGTAGATTATTCATTGTTGTCAAAGCTCTTTCCTTGCAGAATGGAGTTATTTAAGTTTATAGCCATAGAAACTAATTCACAGATGTGATATTTAGTAAAAATATACAAGAAGGTCTAGCTCAGTTAGATACACAGTGGAGAGAGCCACTATCGCATATTTCAAACACTACATGTTTGTTTTTTCTTAAAAAAAAAAATCATCCAACCATGTATGGGACACAATTCCAAAAATAAAGTGCTGAAATGAAATATAATCCAGCTAGGTAGAAAAAAAAAGATCCATAGGACTATAATTGTTTTTTTTTAAAGTGAGAAACCCATGCATTATCACTAATTTACGTCAAGGGTCAGTTATAGAGGTGACAATTTGTTTATAATAGTACTTTAACTGGAAAATAAAGACAAAACAAAAAGGAAACAACACAGAGTAGTTAAGCTAATATTGATAAACATACTCCGTAGTTGAAAAGGAAGGAAATCTGACATCTGATTTAGTGATGTGAAGTTAGATGGCAGATGAATGGAACAAAGGACAAGCAGAGTGGCAAACTCATAGTCTATGAACATTTCTGCTTTATTTACCCTTGCAGAGCTTCCCAAGCTGTCTTCATCAGATTCATGTCTTCGGTTGTTGTTTGAATGGCCCTATATTAATGTAAAGATTTGCATAATTTAATTTGCAGCAACTAATGTGCACCAGTTAACCTTCTATAATATTCCTATCCAGCAAAATTAATAGTGACAATGACCAAAATCGTTTCCGCTGGATACTTTTCTCTCAGTGAAATCTCAATATAAAAAGAAACATACTGAAATAGTAAAGAATATGGCACACCCAGGCTTTAATCCTGTAAACTCGATATCCCATGACAAATACCTTGTCGCTTCAAAGGTGACAAAAGGAGTGGTATCTTCAGAAGCAGTATTCTCTTTCCTATTTTCTAATTAAATATCTAGTTCAGGTCAAAAAGCATTTATTTAAAAGTTTGCATTTTAAAGGAGTAACCAACTAACCCACAGGAATTCTAAAGTTGCATATTATTAACAGACAACAATATTAAGTTCTGTTGTATCTCAAGCCGTATCAAGTCATTGAAAGTAGATCATATTCATGGACTCCGTATGACAAGAAGCTGGCTACGTTTCTCAAATGCAATACAGAATAGTTAAAAAAACCCCACATGAAACCAATTGTAATGTTTGAAATTATACTCCTGTTACAAGTCTTTTTCCTGTAGAAGTGTGATTAACATTCTCAAGATCAGTAAGTAATTTTCTAATGTGGGAATTCCTTTTGAACTGTTTCCTCTGTTTACAAAGTTTAGCTCTAGAAAAATAAAAAATCAGATTCCTCTATGGAAACAGTTCAAGTATGAACAGGCCCAATTCTGCCAAACTCAGAGCCAGGTTCTTACCCTCTCTCTATGTTCCAGATCTTCTAGCTCACTTCTTTTTTCACTGGGATATCCACTGTCTCCACCGTTTTCAAAATCCTACAGAAGGTAAGAACACAACATCACAGCATTGGCACTACCCTTTGTAAGGATCTCAGTGTGACACATCCCACAGAGAAAACCTTCTGCTGGTTCAATGAGACATGCTGGATGGATATATTGGATGAAAATGATTGTATGTTGTGCTAGCTCTGACAGACAGAACAAGACTTAATGACCCAGAAGGTACTGTGCAAGTTTGTGTTCTCTCTTAGATATACAAAAAAAACAAACCCACAATCAAGGACTCACACACTTTATCAAACCAAATGTCCACTTAATATAGTTTTCAGTCTTCAGTGGTTGCCAGTTAGAAGATAAAACAGTAACTGACAGCCCCTGGTGCTAAGGCCCTAGTGTTGGAAAATTCCCATTGCAGACTTATTGCGGTCTTCTCAGGTGAGGTTCTCCTACATCCCACAGTACCAGTATTTGCAGAGACCTAATCAATTGGGATTCTGTTTAGCTTTCATACCACAGCAGTTGGCACAAGTGCCAAAGACACAACATGCAGGCAGAGGAACAGACACATACTTTAATTATTTGTTAAAATACGTTAAAATACGCCAGCTGCAAATAAATTTCTGAAGGAAAAAAAAAAGATTGTTTTAAAATAAAACGTTCCTCCTTTATTAGAAACAGCAGATGCATGCAGGTAACACAGCCTGCAGAAATGAAAGCAGGCAGAGTAACTTTAAGTGCTTTTACTGAACAAAGGCTTCAGGCAGTCCTTTAAAGACACATTCATTAACGAATTGCAATCTCATTTTTTGTTAGAAAAACACTCACCCTTTGGTTATCAAGCTGATCATAGTCTTTGTGAACCAAGTTATCTACTTCATTGAATACAGGCCAATCTAGGATGAAAAATATTTGCTTCTTATTGTAAGTGTAACATGCTTGAGGAGAATGCTCTACATACCATCATTTTACCGCAGTTTTTTCACAGAAGCATCTGTGCATTAATTATCTACACAGAAGTACTTTTATTTTTATTTCTGCTCAAAGAAACAAGTATTCTAGACTAAATACAACATGCTGTTGTGTTTAAAACCAACAAAATAAACCAAGTCACTGCCAAATGTTCAGGAACCTCCAAGGAAGTTATGTATGAGGCTCACTCACTAAGCATGTCCATCTTCTGGCTGTGAGGGGTTGCTGAAGAAGGAGAGCAGGGTAGAGAGTCAAACGCTACGTCGCTCATGCTTTCATCTCCAGAGTTTTCAGACAGGCGGAAGAGCAGAGGAGGCCGACTACCAGAGACTGTTCTCACTCGGCTGCTGCCACATTTTTCCTCTGTGCCACGGAGAATTGTTTGAGCAGATTCCTTGGCAAATTAACAAGAAAGTCCCATGAATAATGCTTCTCTGTATTCTAAGCATGCTACATAAGCCAACATTAACGTTTATTGGGGCTCCTCTACAAAAGAGGAGATATAAATATGCACATGTATACATAACTATTTGCTTCAGAAAGTTCTACACCCCAACAAAATATCAAGTCCTGGCATTGTTACGGTCAGAGAGTTTTGTTTAGGGCTGAATTTCATTAAAAGCGTTTTATCAAGTCCAGTTCCCACTAATACCAGTTTAAACTGAGATCAGTTAAAGACAAGCAGTTCCATTCTTTTTTCTCCCCAAATCAGGTTTGTGAGATACAAAACTTCCTAACAATTTCAGCATTCAAAGATATACTTGGTCTTAAATATACAAATATGCATGTGTTACAAGGTTCTCTATTAACTAAAACTACAGCATTAATTCAAGACAAGTATGGATACATCAGCTTTAAACTGCTATATTTTAAATTGCAACATTAGTGATTAAGGTGGTTTTATTTGCCATGTAAATAGCATATTTCAGTTTTATTTACAAGGCTTTTAAAGTTAGAACAAACCAGCTATACTACTTAGTTACACTTTTTTCATTAAGCACTTACAAGCAATTTTTTATTACAATCCAAGGCATCTTTCTCTTTGGCTGAAAGATCAAATGGTGCAAGCCCCATGCTTTTGCAAATCTTGTTGCAGAAATGAGAATGAAAGAACAAGGCCATACCTCGAACACCTACGGCATTTTAGAAAAAAAAAAAGAAGAAAGGGTTTACTCAAAGTTTATATGACAGTTTACGAGAAGTCCCAAAGCATTCTCCAAAAAGCAAAAAGAGAAAGAAAGAGAGAATGTGCTTTGTAGCATATGTAGCTCAACCCACTTCCATTTTATCTTAATGACTGTAAGGGATTTTCTCTCTCTCTGCAAGAGAGAGCGAAAGCAAGTCTGCAAAATCTTCAAAAGCTATGTATGCACAGGATATAATAATAAATTAATCTGGCTGCATGACTGAGAAACATGCCTGAATTTCATCCTGCTTACATAACTTGCTGTGTCCTATTAACAACTTCATGTATGGACACTTGGAGCTTTAAAAATATGCAAGGCTTATCTCTCCACATTCAGCTCTATCCATTCCTGCAATGTGGCAAGAAAATTAAAGGCCACAATTATTGCTCTCACATTGTAGGAAGCTACTTAACTTCATTACTTGTTTGGTTTAAGAATATGCCAGGAGACAGGAGCTCTCACTTTAAACCTGCCCTTGCATGACAGCAGCTCTGTTCAGGGACTCCTTATAACAGAACTTCCCCAACTGTTTGCAAGACTTTCACTCAGCTGTGTAGTGGCTACTCAGCAGACAGCTAGGAAGAGAAAATAAGCATTCATTAGTATGTGAAAGAAGATCATTGATTTTACCTAGGTTGCCATCTCCAAAATCTGTACCGTTCTCTGTATGGATCTGAGGGTCCGTGTAAAGATCTCCAACGCCCTGGATATCAACAATAATGAGTTGGTGTCCAGAGCGTTCAAAGGTGAAGTGACTAAAGGCCTGGGAAGAACCATAGAAGATGTCTGAGAAAAAAACCTCCCTTGATCTACTGAGAACAGCAACACATATTCACCTCTCATAAATGGGCAGAGAAGTCTGATAACCCTATTGGTGAAACATAACTTGCATAAACATCACAACAAAAACAATGAGAGACTAAGAGCACATAGTAGATTGTTTCTCCAACCTGCCTCCACTCAGAAATGGGCTAAAAGAGGCAGGGGGGGAAGCAGCAGTGAGAAGATGTAGAGGAGAAGAGATTGTTTTATTTCCCGTACTGGAGATTGTTTTCCACTACAGTCTTCACGTGAAGTGAAGTGGGGAGCTGCCTGGCAGAGGGAACAACAGTGGGCTCTGAAGCCAGTGCAGAATAACTTCTGCATAAACATCCTGGCTGTGCCTTTGGATGTCCAAGCTCTACAGCCCTAGGACACTGCTTCCTTCTGGCAACCGGCAAAGCTCTGCCATGTTTTGCAAAAAAAAAAAAAAAAAAAATAAATGTGAGCATCCTCACAAATTCTCCTTCCTCTACTAGGCCCACATTTACAAGAGGTGCCCCTGAACGGCTGATCTGGCTTTACATTTACATATCAGATAATGAAGTGTACATTCGCACACTTTAGATGCAATGTTTCAGGAATCAGATACAAAAAGCCCTTCTCTTTGGCATAAAGCTGAGACATTCAGAATCTTCTGGGAAGGCCTCCAAAAAAGCACTGCCAGGCCTGGGGGAGGTGACTGGTGGTGATAGACAAACATTTTAACTGCAGCAAGTCTCATGGAACATTTTGTTCCCAACCTGTGAAAGCACAGCACTGATTCAGTGTACAAAAGACAGCCCAGAACATATAGCCTCTGCTTACATTAAGCATCACAACAAATACCTTAAAAATAGGGGAAAAAAAATGAAAAGAACAAAGCACCAAGTAAATCACTTCTTTGCTATGCTGACCGCTTTGCATTTTTTTCCAGTATTTTAAAGTTCTTTTACGAGATCCAAGAATCACTTGAAATCTGTACTTGTATCTCTATACGCAATCTCAGATTCACCTATTCAGTGGCTGTAGCTGAAAAAAACCAAAACAGATTCTTATATGCAAATGGATTATATGTTTAGTTACATGAGTTGGATATCTGCCACCTCCTTTAGCATATTACATGAGGCACCAGAAGACTATTTAGTACGTAGTACATGAGAGGTCTCTCTCCCTGCCTTAACTGGAAGAGCATGTGAAACATGTCAATGCCTGCAACTGCAAGCCAAAGGGCTGAAGGTTTCCAAAGAGTATTAACCACGTTCAACTCAACTACAATCAAGAGACACTGAAATGCGATAAAGAAGCACTCAGTGCTTGAAAGAGCAGGCCCCAAATATGGGGAAGACATATCACAAAAAGAGAAATTAATCTGGCATTGTACTGGAAAGCCTGCAGTTTCCTTTCTTGGCGGTAATGCAAGACCTCTGGATAGAGCCAAGAAATTCCCTGCAGCAGACTTTATGGAAAGCATTAAACAAAGCCTCACTTGCGGAGTAAGACGAATGTTGTCGTCTCGCACAAATCCAGAATTTGAGTTGTATTTGATGTATTTGCCCTCAATGTAATGTTCCAGATGAAAGAGAGGCTTCCCAGGTCTGTTCTTCATTTCGATAATACAGGTCTGTACTATATCCACCTGGGGACAGAAAGAAGATAAACAATGCCTAACAGAATACTGTCTTCCAACCAAAGTGCTTGTGAATCCTCCAGCTGTGAAAACCCTCCCAATGAAAGAAGTTAAACAGACAGGTCTTTGCAATTGTTCAGCAAGGGTGTGGGAGAAGAGTCATGTGCTTTGTAGGTTATTAGAGGAATTCCATAAATTAAAAGCAGTCACTTTTGCAAAAAATCCCTCTGAAAAATTCTTACAAAGTGTTGGCTATTTTATTTTTGTGAGTACCTTAAGAGTACACTGTTAAGAGTCTATATCCAGAAAGCAAAACATATGGTAACTATTACACAACTTGTAGAAATGTCTTTTCAGAGAAGGACTGAAGACGTCTACCATTCAGATACTTCTGTATAATGCCTCACTTCCCTCTGTCCCAGACACATTCCTAAAGGAGAAACCATCACAACACTCACTTTGCTTACATCTTTTCCCTGTCGAGGTATTTAAAACTTCTAGATTTCTAGATTCCTCCTTGTGCACTTTATTCTATACCTCACCTTGCTGTTGTGAGAACAGGTAGTTATAAATTAGCCCTCATATGGGAGGCAATGCACATAATGCACATATTCAAAAGCACTCATTTTGACTATTCAATTGCTAAAGCCCCCACACTGAGACATACTTTTTGACCCAAGCATCTTGTTACATGTCATACACAGTCTGTAGCAGAGTCAAGAGCAGGAACCAAGATACCACAGTACGTGTACAGCACCCTTCCTACAAGTCCCCTCTTCCACTCACTTGAACTCATAGTTATGCTCAGGCATTCAGCACCAGCTGCGGATCGAAGGGACTGGACAGCTTCACTGATACATACCACGGACATACTCAAAGAGGAGCTACTGGCTGAGAGTGAATGACAGTTGCAGTGCTTCATCCCTGCGCTTCAGTTTCTTGGCCGTTTAACAAGCTGATTGCTGCTTGACGTGTTTTTGTCCAGGATGCAACAGCCAGCTTTGACCAGCAGCTATCCGACTTAGCAGCATGGAAAAGTGCAAAGCTATGCTGGCTGTACAAAATGTGTAGCATGGACCCCAGAACCAGAAATCCACCCAGGAAAGCAGTAGAACTACGTCTTCCTGAATCCTATGTGTTTATGTACATCCCTACTGCAGAGGATGGGAACTTCTTTTGATACCCTGAGCTTGGCCTGATATTCCATCCACCTGGGAGTTTCATACATCTTAACGCCTTGCACTTAACACAATGTGCTAGTATTGTCACTGAGACACCTAAAGGAAACAAAGCCATAGTATTTTCATTTTTTTGAAAATTCGTGACCAGTCCTCAGAAATCTGTATTTGAATAACTTCGTAAAGGTATTCGGGTTTCCAGCTCTTCTTAAAAATCAATGCTAGTTAGGTATTTAGATAGGTTTACAAGATCTAAGCATCTACATTCTTGGAGCACTAACAGTTAAGTGCTTGCTGAGTCTGCTGCTGGCAATAAATTCTGTGACATCTCTAGTTATCTCAAAAGCAGCTGGGCAAATATCAAAAAGAGCAATACAAACATCATTTTGTTTTGGTCTTCAGTCAACAGCTGAGAACAGGCAGACATTCACAAACACACAGCCCCTAATTCTGGAAATATAAAGCAATTTCTGCATTTACTTCATTAAAAATCAGACCCATTTAATGGAAAACTCAGTAGGGCAGAAGAATCTATCTAAGCAATTAAATTTAATGGAACATGAACAAGGAATTCCTTCTAAATTAATTTAAAAACTAATCTAATAGGAGAGCAAGACTGCATTTTTGCTTAGCAAGATCTCTGAATGTACCTGTTTTGGTGGCTTGTGCCGGTTGTACTCTTCTCCCCAGAGTTTTGCTTCCATCTGAAGTCGGACATCCTCAAAATACACATCCCTGCCCACACTCTCTATGTACTGCTTGGCAACATAGTTATAGGCACCTTTCCAGTTCTGCGTGTGTAAGAAGTTGGACAGCTTTTTCCTGAAAGACAAATCGATCGTTGGTGAAAGGAAACCAAGAATTTTAATTCAATCTTTCCCATTTCTTTGCCTGCATGGACAGAGCCAGGCACTGAGATCAGCATTATCTTGAGTCATTTACCAGATATTCTAGCTGAAAAGTGAAGTACAGGTAGGGAGGGAGCAAGGGAAAAAGCAACATCCCATATGAAGGACTGGGTCGTGCCCAAGTGCCTGTTTGGTTTCACTGCACATACTTCTACTCTGAACTTCCTCCTTTTCTCATTTCCTTTCCCTCCCTGCTCCCCTCAGAATATGAAGGGTTGGTGCCACCTCAACACCCTGTTCTTATGTCAACAATTATTTTCTGCAGAAATTAACAGGGAGTGGCCTTTCAAACATGAACTGAGAGCAGAAAACCCTCTCCTATGATAACAGCAAATTGCTGCCTTCTTAATATCCCTCATGCTCCCAGAAGGAACACTGCATCTGACAGTTCTTAATGACGTAGCTTTTAACTTCTGTTGATGTGTAAATCTTTAATCCACAGATCCTTCAAAAGTTGGGGGAGGAAAGACTTGGACAACAAAGGATCTGCTGGCTGCCAACAAATGGATTAAGCAGGTACCCAGTGGTTGTAGAAGATGCCAACATTCAAGTCAAATAGGAAAAAAAAACTACCGTTGTTATCAAAAATTCCAAAGCAGACATAGTCTTTCCTAGAGCAGCCTCATCCATTTATATGGCACACAAAGGGAAAAGCACTTCGCCGCCCCCCCCCCCCGTATAAACAGTCCCTACTGTGGCAGCAGTGGTATTGCTGTAGACCTCAGCAATGCCAAGTCAGTCTGCAGAGGGAGGAAGACTATGAGAACAAGTATCTAGAGTAAAGGCATGGCTGCCTACTGAGCAGTTCCCATACTCTGCTCAGTAACAAACAGTGGTTCTCTGAGCCCTTATGGTGCCATGGCAAATTGTACCTTTTGAGGACCAGGTAGCAGCACTCAACCTCCCCTCCTTCCTTTCCTCTCTCCTTCCCAAGACCTTGGTGCAGAGGTCTTGGTACAGGGGACACTAAAGGCAAAGCAACTTCAGATTGTCTGTCCTCTTGCAGGGATGGGCAGACAGTTGCTACAATAGAGGCCTTGGGAAGAAGGAACAAGCAAGAGAGAATTTCAGCCGGGATTTGAGATCTTTCGAGCTCTCTGAAGAAACTATTTCTCTGCACAAAACGAGACAGCTCAAGTGCTCTTCTAAAGCCAATGAAGTTCATTGAGCCAAGCACATCTAAGGCTGTCGCTGTCATGACTAAAGACTTGCAGAGTTGCAAAAATCTAGAAGAGAGAGCTCCAGATGGGAAATATCAGTGCACCACTGAGAGTTATGGAAAATCCAGCAGGGGAAAGCTGACGTAGGGGTTGTGCTTTCTTTGTACAAGAGGTTAAGGCAAAGCTGCAAAGATAAATTTCTGTTTATGACACTACTCAAGATTCTGTGTAAAGGGGAATTTGGTAAATAAGAGCTAAAAGCAATGTCAGCAAGCTAAGATTTGTTACTTCCTAGGCTCCATTCACTGCTGTATCTATCTGGCTTTGCAAGAACAGAGACATCAGCATGAACTGATACTGAAACAATGCCAAACTGGAGGACTGAGGGATTACTTTTCCTCCTTTTTGCACAAGTTCAAACCACCACATTTCTGTCATTCAGAAGCTTCTCTCTTTCCAGAAGTGAAACCAGACATGAAATGCGATTTCTCTGGACTGTGCAGCTGGAAAGAAGGGGGAGCGGCCTTAAACACACACACGTACATTTTCCAGGAAACATTCATTTCCAGAGCCTGGAAAGGGTGAGGTACTCTTCTAGTGTGAACTGATTTACAGCTAGATGCTGATGCCCACAACCATATTTACTAACACTCTCCAAGGAAAGAAAAGTTCCTTCTTTGTCTTCTCTCACACTTTACCCCTCTGGAAAGAGTAACTGTTAGTGTTCAAGTTCTGCATTACTCAGAACAGGATTACTCTGGTACATGTGATCCGAAGTAAACTCTGGGAGAATAACCTTCTTCACCTAGGGAGGCTTCCAGAGTTGAGACTGCACCATCCAACTATTCCCTCCCCTTTTCTCTGCCTAACTATAGGCCACAAGTTGGCTTTCAGGCTGCATATAAAATTCAAAGATATTTTAGCACACCAGGAATACAGGAACAAAGTAGCTGCTTCTGTACTTTTGTAAGTATTTTGCCGCCAAGAGATGGTGGAAATAGCATAAATTTATGAATTTCTAATTGATAGGCTGATTATTACTGTTTGAACTGGACATTATCCATCCCACTGCAGTTCCAGTACAGGCAATGGCTTGACTTTTGAAAGCAAGCTCACTGGATACCTGCGTCAATGCTTGCCTGTGCCTCCCTTAAGAGAACGTTCTGCTTTCTGAACCCCACTCCCTGTGCTGTGGCTGGAGTCACAGAAACAGGAATAAACCCCTCAGCTACGTCCTTTGGAAAGGCGCAGCAGAGAGCTAATGGGCAGGCGAACTTTACACAACTTCCACCACATCTAAGTGAAATTCCAGTCATCACAGAAGAAAATACTGCATGGAGGCCAACGAAGTTAAAACCAGCAGATACTTACGTTCTGAAACACTCTCGCATTGCACCACGGCCAAAAGGCTAGGGAGAAGAAAAAAAGAAAACCCAACATTATAATTTCCATAAAGTTAATTTCTAACCAGTAAGAGACACAAACATGTCTTCCCCCTTCTATTCTGCAGAAGACAGCTCTCAAACAGGCTTTATACCATATCTATCTCCTCAAAGAACAGTGAAAACCCACTAGCAGTGTAAGCAGGAATCTGAGAAAAGACATTGGGAATCAATCCCCTCTCAGTATCCCATGGAGCAGACATGATATGTCTTTTAAAGAAACTATTTAAATTCTTTCTCCAGTTTGGAGTCAGCTCTGTTTTGACTGCCTAAAGAAGCTGGCTTCGCAGACCTCATGATCTCCACATTTAGACTTCCATATAGGATGTGCCAAACAGAGCATCACCTCCCAAGATGCCAGACACTACGTCAGTAACACAGAGCAAAGTGACTCCAACACACCACCAACCCCATGATTTAACTGGGAAGCAACAGTAGCTTCTACCCTCACATACCGAAAATTCAGTCTGTTTTCATCCTAAGAGCAGAAATTATTTGGAAGCACACAAAACAGTAAGACTATTGCCAGGCAGGGAGATGATGACAGCAGGAAATGGGAGGAAGAGCTTAAATGGGAGGGCTGAAATGGGAAGGATATCACTGGGAAAGGAACAAATGCCTTATGTCGCTGATGGGGAAGGGTTTACTCCATCATCTACTCTACTCTGGGGAGAAAAGGCTGTTGGGACACCAAAGCATAATGGATGAGCAGAGGAAAAAGAGAGGTAGGAGAAGAGAATGACATTCAGACTTCAAAGCTTCTATATGAGAAAAATATCTTGCTGCCACTATTCAGTAACAGGAAGGAAACGACAAATTTGGCTGTTAATTAACATGAAAGACAGTGTGATCTTACTTGTGAAGCCATCTTGATGAGGACTTCATCTTCAACCCAGTCCCCAGTAACTGCATTGTACCTGAAAAATCAGGAGATGTGCCTTAGAAAAACACAGAGGGAACCCAAATCCTCCCATCTTCAGCACCTGTCCTTCTTTATCTCTAGCTGACTGCTAAAGTGCTGCTGCCACTCCCAACACAAAAACTTCTAGTCTTCTCACCACACTCCCTCCTTACTTCAAGTGGGAAAGAATAAATATGTATAGCTCTTTAGAGAGGTGCTGAATCCTATTGACAATGAACAGATTCCACTACAGAAGCTAAACTTTTGCAACACTACAAATTAGGCTTTATCTGCTTTGATGTTAAATCTCCTCTGTGATGCCTAGGAAGCAAACTGGGGGCAGAAAGAGCCTTACCAAGCCCTACACACTGGACAGGTTGTCTCCTCCAACCCTGAGCTTGCATAAACCTGGTTCTGGCTGGATATCTGCTGCAGGGCTGCGGTAGATGTGAGCAGAACACAGCACTGGCTGTGGCTGTGAAAAGCAGTGGGGCCAAGTACTGCCCAACACTATGTGGACAAGTGTCTGCACAACCCTATGATGATACAAAGAGTACAGCTATGGTTTCTCCCCACCCCCTTAACTCCCAACACAGTAAACATCAAACTGAGAAATACAGCAGTTGAGTCACCACCACATGATTGGTTCCAGTCTGATTCCCCAGACCTGCACCAAGTACTTCATGTATGCAGACACCCCAGTTAACCCCTTATATATTGTGTATCACCTCAGTTAGCATCAGACAAGAGAGGTGGAAATAAGAATATCAAGTAATCTCTTTATAATAGAGTATTCGAGTAGCCCTAAACCTATTATTACTCATTTGTATTTAAAATATGCAAACTATTTCAGGACTCTGTGGTTGACCAGGGATAGATGCAGTCTATGAGGAAGAGCACATGTGACAGTTATGCGATTGGAAGGGAGGCCTCCCCAAACACTAACTGGTAATTAACTGGCTTCTAACTCCCACCCCTTCCACCCAGAAACCTGTGTCAGTAGGGTAAACGTTTTGGCAAAGCCTATGCTGAAGCACTGAGAATAGTTTAAAGGCCAAACTCAGTTTCAGCACGTACACCATGCTGAGCTATTCTGGGCTTTATAAGGATTTAAATTCCAGCCACATGCGGTAATACTGCATGGACAGGCAACAGGGAAACTGCTGCTTTGGGAAATGCACAGTGTTATGTTGCTCTTTTTTCTAAACTAGTTAAGCTAAGTATGCTGCCTGTTTATTGAGATTCATTTCCTTATTAGATTAAGTTTACAGCATTAATAAATCAACTAGAAAAATACTTCTCAGTCTTGTTTCCTGTCTACAGGGTAAAATTCATAGATACTACTAAGGTGAGAGAGAGAGAAAGTGAGTGACACTGGTTTGCTGAAAGGTTTATTTTTGATAACGTGCAGAATTTACATATTCCTGAGAGATTCAGTTAAGATACACTCACTTTGGGCATTATTGAAAGTTCTTCATCCATGTAATTACACATATTCTGCACTACACAAACACAGCCCATGCATAAACCAGCACACTCTGTTTAACATCAGCATTAAAAGCAGAAAGACATACAAACCTGTAACGAGTGGCTTGCTCTGTCTCAATGTCTTCAAGATGAAATTCTGCCCATGGATCAGGCATGTGCTTAGCCTTCTGAATAGCATGTTTCCAGGTTTCCTGAAGAAGTTACAAACTGGCAGGTTATTTATAATCAGCAGCAACTCAAAACAACGGCATTTTCTAGAGCACATCAGGATCCCAATGCTACCAAGATGTGCAACTACACAAGCCCCCAAAGCACTATTCAGAGCAGCTACCAAGTGGCACAGAAGACCACTCGAAGTTTTACAGCTTCAAGTGTAATGAAACACAGTGCAGAAATACAAAGCATCAGGTTTCAGTTCAATTGGCACCACTGTAAAGTTATTGAGAACAGAGTCTGGTCTAGTATATACCAAATATAATTTGCAAATATCACTAATCCAGACTACAAATAGTGATAAGGTGCATCTAGATGATATTAATTCACTTTTACTGTTTTGATTTTTAACTTTTTGAATAAACAGCATATGTTGGCAGTGCAAGCATAAAAAAAGTCCATCAGCGATAGAGCAATATGGACAAAGAAAAAAAGTTTCGTAAACTCCAAGGGCCCCAAATTGTGCTTAGCATAAGAAAGAAGAAATCATAATGTTGTAAACATGGATTATCGTAACAATTCCAGACAAGTAGCTATTTCAATCTCCGCCAGGTCAACAGTAAAAAAATCAAAGGAGCTTTCTGCAATATAAACAGTCTTTCTCTACCAGCCAATCTGGATGCTTTTCTCTTAACATTTTGATCTCCCTCTTTTTACACTGTACTGTTCCAAGAGAACTAGAGAAATGACCCTGTGATGTGCCAAAGGCCTTCTGCAAGGTGAGCAGGAGAAAAGGCCACTCTGCACCTCGTCAGTAAAAAAATACTAAGCTCTGAGATTTTGTTACTGCCTGACTGAATTCCAAGTATGCAGAAACAGTAACTCTTAAAATATTGTTTTGTTTTTTTCCTTTGGAAATTAGATTTCAGTCAAAACTTTTTAAAAAATACAGTATGAATTGGTTTCAGCAATGACATCAAGGAAGTTTTTGAAGCAGCCAACCTTTTAAATTGCTCATGTTTATTTTTATTTCAGCTGTAAATCTGCATACCTTGCAAACAATTTAAATACTCCCCATTCTGACAATAAAACCACAAAACAAACACCATACTACAATAAATAAAACAAGTTTAAAAGACATGCTGAGAAAGATTTCCTACATGTTTCATAAGAAAATGAAGTTGCCTCAGATTATGCAATGACACACATTCCACATGGACCTGGGAACTTCCATACTTGAATATATATGAAAGAAATAGGGAGAGACAGAAGCGAGTAGAATTGCTTGGTCAATTATATATGTCAAATCATTCTGGAGTAGAGTCCCTCTCCAAAAGGTGATCTGTGTCCATGCTAGGTAATGAGTTAAAGAAATAAATTATTTGTGCTTGATCTTGTGAGGCACTTTGTACAAAAGCTGTATTCTAACCTTCAAACAAATGGAAGTTGGACTTATGGAAACGGTTCTAACAGTACAATTTTTCTCCTGCCGTAGGCATATGGCTGCCATACCATCTAAGTAGATGTCTTGCATCCATTCTACTCTTGTCCACAGTAGGAGATACTGTGAAGAAACAGCTACAGATATGCACTCTAAAAGAAGTGATATTTCAGGGTGGAGAACAAGAGATAGGTACTATTTAATTTAACAGATATCTTTTGTAGTTTTGACTTGATGACTTTTATGGGCTGAGGCAAGCAGCTCTCCCACACAATAAAATAATGAACAAAAAAGGCTATAAAAAGAAAAAAAAAGTACACAAAAAAATTCTTAATGCATCTATTAGATACGGTGTTCACATTTCCTTTTAACCTACCCGACTATGGTCAACCACAGAGCCGTGCTTAGAACGATGCTGTGTGTCATTCTAAAGGATGCATGAGAAACATAAAAAGTAGGAAAATACATATGATAAGACAAACGATTGACAAAGAGTCTCTGTTCTCTTTGCTAATTAAAAAAAAATAAATGAAAAAAATTTTCCGCTAAAAGCCGTTCTCCAATTTATATTCATAATTTAAGTTCATTTTTAGAACGTCCGTGAACAAATCTATTGAGGTTAAGTTGACAATTTTTTCAATTGGAAAATATGCATTAAAAGGGTCTTGCCTATTAGCTAGCTAATCAAACATTGCAGAGCCCTGTCTAAAGGCAGAGAGTTAATGGTAACACCCACACTGCCATTAGCTTCAAGGTCTGACAGGCAGATTCTGATCAGACCAAGCTGTGGAGGTTTAAGACGTTACCAGTCCTGGCTGTCTGCTTCACTCTGTGTTGGAAGTCACTATTTCTGCAACTTAAGCAGCAGACGGAGACTTGCTTGCTCCACATCTCGACTCAATGCATTTTATCTGTGATAGGAGCTCAAATGACAAAGTAGACATCGTAGAGCCCAACGCACGGGCACATATATTCTGCAGAAGAAATACGATAGCTTAGGAAGAAGGAAATGATTGCAATTTCTTAAGTCTTTATCAGTTTTATCTTAGGCCACACGACCCAAAACTCACACTGCAAACCCAGAGGCAAATGTTCAGTACATGCTAAAATGTACATATGTACACAAATGAAGACTAAATTCCTTATCAGGTCTTAACTTGCTTAGCATAGCACACACTAAAGTCTGTCCCCTTGTCTGTACTAAACTTTTACTCTTCACCTCCCTTAGGAATATGTACCTTTTAACATTTCTATTAACTAGCCTTGGTAAAAATCATACTGCAGATTGAGTTTCACAACAGTGACAAAGATTCAAAGACAGTTTCATTTTTAATGTGTTACTTAATATGGTAGCTGGCTGAAATAAACCCTCTCCAAGAACAAAGCATGCATTAGGTATAACCAAGATTTTAATGTATCTATTAAATAAATAATATGTTAATATTTATAACAAGAAATATGTTAATTAAACACATTAAATCCTAGTCTAGACAAAAATCTAAGAGACATGCCAGTTTACCACAAATGGTGTGAGTTTGGAACATCTAACCTATAGAGTGAATGTCACTTGAGTTCCTGAGGCTCCACTACCTGTGGGTTCGTCTCCCTTTGCCTGGCCTGATCTGTGCAAAGGGAGCCAAGTGGAACAGGACGCACTGCCAAGGAAGCACCAACTACAGCCCTTTGACCTCTCTGCAATGCTGTGACCACTATTCACCTTAAAAAGGTCAGATACTGCTCAAGTATGCTGTCAGGAACTACTGCTGGTGTGACACTCCATGCCTAAGCACAAGAGTCAACATGTTGGAATCTCCATATGAAGGAACTACAACCAAGAAACCTATCATTACAATTTTATCATTTACAATTTTATTTGCCCAAATAAAAGTATTACAGATTGTTAACTCTGCTTGGCAAAATCCACGAGAAAATATCTTCTGCCAGGCCCCGATTTAGGTTACAACAAGTATCATCTTCTAAATCTCCCAATCAATGTATTGTTTTTTTAACGGTTTGATCGTAATGGCAGAGAATTGTTCGCCTGGATTCTGCTGCCTTTGTAGATGAAGGTCTCCCACTGAACTAAAAGGGACAATAAACAATTCAATGGCAGCGTCAGACTATTGGCTTAACGGAATTAACTGCAGGTGTGAAAAAACAGATGTGTGTTTTTATTGAAAAGTGATCCTTTCAAGAGATGAAGCAGTTAGAGAATCCCTCATGCCAACTACGTAAAACCAAAACCTTATTGACGGCTGGAGCCAGTACTTACCTTAAAGCTAAATGAGTTTCTAGGAGAAGAGCTTGAACTGTACTGTTCAGTTTTTGCTAAGTCGCTATAATAATTGTCAACTTTGATACTGGCAGACTTGTTAGAAACTGGATCATCAGTTATTGGACAGATAAAATAATTGTCTTCATCATCACTATCAGCATCGAGATAATTTCCAGAGTTCACTGCAGTCGATCTAGCGTTATCAATCCCTTCCATACGGAAAATAAGGTCCTCATCTGCCATGTTTGCAGGATGTTGGTTTAACTCCTGCAATGATTAAAACAGCCACTATTCCAATGCACATGCAAATGGAGGGAAGAAGCTGGGTGGGGAGAAAAGAAAAAAAAAAAGGTTGTTATTAAAAGAACAAATGATGCATGAAACTGATTTCAGCACACTGGCAGAAAAAATAATTTGTATATGGCTCTATAAAAATGATCCCCAAGTACCTACATGTGGTTTTGAACACCTCAGTGTTAGATCTGGGTTTCCAGAAGGCACTCAGTTTTTAAATTGCTACAGGATTGAGAAAAGAAGATAACCAAGTGTTGAATAATACTATAAAGTCTGAGGGACTGCAAATATCACCTGCTGCCTATGGCTGACACTTGTTAATGCTCCTAGCTCCTTCTCTGAACATTTTTATTCTTCTTCATCTGAAACACTGAGTTCCACAACACTAGTCTTAGAAACTCGAGGCAGTTTTACCTTGAACACTACAGTCAGGTTTTCAAATTTTTTCAGGACAAGTCTTCTCAAGGGTATTGCATACAAATTAAGAGCCAAAGGAGTTAGAGAGTATTATTCGAACAGCATAGAAAACTGTCCCACCACTGCCAAGATTTAAGTTGGCTTTCAGCTCACATACAGCCAATGGTCCACGGTGCAAAGCGTGCTGCTGAAAGTGCAAAGCACATTGCCCAGGCTACCCAGGACATCTTCGGAAGGATGAAGTACAAAAGAGGCTAAGAAAGGAGGCCTGCCAAAAAAAACCTCTTCCAACTCCAAAGACGCAGATATGGCAGTCTGCTCAACAGCATTAAGTCTCTAAGCTGTGTTTGCTTTAAGCATAGAGCTTAAAGGAAAAAAATATTCTCCCTGGTTATCAGTTCTTCAAGAGGTTAGAAAGCTCGATTTTGTCACTGGTTATTTCAACTTTTTAGTAGCTTCCTGGATCCTAAGAGAACAGAATAGGTAGAGTTTGTCTTCTGAGTCCTAGCTCCCAAGTAAACTAAGCAAACTGAAAGTAAAAGCAACAGTACAACACAGACAGGTCATGAGGTTTTATTAAAATCTGATCAACTATTTCTAAGCCCAGAAGGTGATATTCCAGTAAGTATTTCACTGAGACAGTCTGACACATTAAACAATGTTAGAGTAAACAATACAGAAGCTCCATACGGGTATCAAAACTGCTGCTCTGCAAAGGCTCCGGTCATACCGTAGCTTTTCCAAGTTAGTGACGCCACTTTCAGAGGGGCAGAGCGCACACTGCACAGCCCGACTGCTGCAAGAGATGTGTTATAAAAAAAAAGATAGGTGAATCATGAAAGTATTTTTCCTGGAGCTCATGTTCCACCCCTGGAGATCTTACAACAGGAACATGTCCAGCAGCCTCCACCCAAGAAGCAGTTTGTGATGATTCAGCAGAACTCAAACAGAAATAAACTCCTACAGGCCCAAACTACAGGAAGTCAGTATTGTGTCTTTCTTACATTACCAGCCATACAGATGCAAACAGTTTCCATTCTTCCACATTTCACGGTCCAGAGCCAGTGGTGGCAGGACACCAAAGCTGAGTTTCAGAGAGAAGAGTTTGCCAGTTTCTAGACCTATAAAGTCTCCTCCTTCCACCCCACAACATGGCTCCAGCAAGGAGTAGGCCTCAGGAACACAAGGGTGCAAGGTGGCCGTGACATCCCTGGAGTCCAGTAACACTGCACCTTCTCTGCAACGGCTCATTTTAGTCCATCGTATATAACACATGCTGCCGAGCAGAGGGCTGGAGATACACGCCTGAGTAGGAAACTGGTGTTACCTGCCAGCACCCTGCCTCCTGTCCAGTGTGGTGCCTTTGCTTCACAGTGCTTCTCTATAGCCCAGGCTCCCTTTCCACATTACCAGGCTATTTCCCAGATACTCTTTCACTTAAGGCTCTGTTCTTCCTCTGAGCTCTTGTCCTTTTCAAAAAAACCCACTCACACCATCAAGTACCCGTCTATGGAGGCTTCTAGCTATCAAGGAAGGTATCAAGTGTTCCAAGGCCAGGTTGGATGTGGCTTTGAGCAACCTGATCTAGTAGAAGGTGTCCCTGCCCATGGCAGGGGGGTTGGAACTATATGATCTTTAAGACCCCTTCCAATCCAAACCATCCTATGATTCTATAAACAGCCAGAGTGAAGCAGGTCCATGATTCATCTGATACCAGCCGCTTCAAAGAGCAAAGAAACCTTCATGGAATAATAATCCATCCTTACTCACATGTTCTTCTAATTGCTGATAGTTCACGTTTTCTGAAACTCTGTTCTCATTAACTGCACTAACTCCAGGTTTCAGAGTAATTTCCTGAAGTCTCTCACACCTGTCTGCCACATTTAATGACTTTCTGTAATGACTTTACAATCGCATTAAAAGCTCAGACCACACTAAAGAGAACGCACAGACTGAAATGAAATTACCTTTCCACCATATACTTTTGTTAATTGTTTCTTCTATTGAGAGTACAACATACAACTGATTCCCCTATGACCATATCCTGCTTGGAGCTTTCCAGGACACTCCACTGTTTCCTGTTGCATTTTCATTCAATGCTGAGGTCAATCAGCAAATCCGATCACAGCCAAGCTGACAGCAAAGAACAACCTGACTCATTAAAACTCACCAGGAGAATCCAACGCTTGGGCAAGAACCCAGTGGGCATCAATGCAGCTCAGCTTCTTCTGCGCCACAAGACTGCGGTGAACTGAGGGAAGGTCTACAGAGCAGCACGGTTGTGTTGAGGGTCTGGCATCCTCACCGTCCGCCTCTCGGGGATTCACTTCAGGCTAGCTCTAACCTGGCCTCAGGGACGAGATAGCCCCGTGGCTGTGCTGTGTTCTCCAGGTTAAGTTTCATGCACAAGGAGTTTAGTTTGCAAGCTCTGAGATGCATTTCAACATGAACCGAAGTGCAATGAGCTGAGATGATAGGGAGAGTTGCTTCAGAAGCACTTTTCTGATCAGAACAAAAGGCATAGGCTGAAGCAGGGGAAGACTGGAAAGGGACAGACACAAAAGGGACTGGGCTACTGCTTGATTTTACTGTACACTTTTCTCCTTAAAAATATAAAGCAGATTTACAAACCACACCATGGCTTTTAAACCACTACTAGTGCTTAAGAGTATTTTCTCTGAAGCAATCCGAAACCAGTAGCACAAGCACAAACTTCCAAGCCCACTCAAATTAACAGGAATATTTTCTCCTCATTTTAGCTTTGATTATGCAAATTGCTCTGCTGCATGAAAAACAGGAAGGGGTTACATGAATGCAAAATAATAATCCAAATCTTCACACAGATTCAGCTGAGTTTAAATAAATATTTGCTGGCAAGTCTGCTGCAGTGAATTTTGCTGGCTGTTCAGATGGGTACTGTGAGTATATTACAGTCAGGTCTGCCTGTTTGTTCTTGATTAGAGGGCAGAAGTAGACTATACAAAGCAGCATATCTTGATTTGTTTCACACAACATGTATCTTAAAATCTTTTTATTCCTGGAGCCCTGAAAACAACAATTTAGCTTACAGAATATTGCACTTAATTTGTTCTCAATATTATATAAGTATCACCCTTCCTTCCCACATCTAATGGAAGTATTATCTGTTTTACAAGCTAGAAAAATGAGACGTAAGAATGATCAAAGCCTTGGAAGAGACGGAAGTCTACATGGATACTCTGAAAATACCTGCACCTACAAAATAGAGGATTAGTTAGCATTTTCAAAATTTGGCCCTGATGCTGGCTGTGCAACAGTGTGCTACTTACAGCAGACACTTCTAAGCATCCCATCAATTGCTTAGTTCTAGAGCAACCTCATGCACCAAGTTGGATCAGGGATTTTCACATGGCCAGCCTAAAAAGATAACTATAAAACAAGGTTTTCAGCTTTGCTTCACTGTTATTCAGCCCTGTGCATATTCGACCTTCTTCCTTCATGAAACAGCACCAGATAAATACACTCCTACAGCAGTATTCACAGCTGCAGACCTTGCACTACAGCTACTGAGAAGACGGTCACCACAGGAACAGTGCCTCAACATATGGCACCTTTCACCAGCAACATTACGCTGTTGGTTAGTGCATTCTGACAGAGGTGGTGTAACACCAGCTGCATCAGGCAGCATAGCTACAGTAAACCACTGCTGAAGGAGGTCTGAGCCAACTCGTCTGACTTTGCATTGAGGCAGCTTTGGAGCATTCATGTCTCTGCTCTTCCAGCAAAGACCATGCAAGAGCTGTCCTTTCTGGAGAGAGGTGGTAGCACATGACTAGAAGGGGAAGGTATCCTCAGTTGCCACTACTATTTTTACTGCGATCATCTTACTAGAGTCTAACGAGTATTTGAGAATGTTAACCTCTACCGCTTGTCAGCACACACAAACAGCAGATGTAAAATGATGCTTCAAGTACGGGACTAATTCCAGGATATACTGTAGCACTGGCCTAGTCTCATTACCCACAGCTGCTGTCCTGCACACATTTCTACTACCGCAGTCACATGCAAATCAGCCAATCCACCAGGTCTGAGATGCTCAGAGAAGCAGCAATAGGAACGCAGGTTTATGCAGCAGTGATTGCAAACATTCATGATTTCTGTGATTTGCTGTGCAAATGGGACATCATCACACAAACCAATTTGTATTTAAAGTTAACGCTGTTTATAAAACTCTGTTTTTCCTGGAACCATACATCTTGTAAAGGACTTATGGTGTTTACTTTGGAAGTGCATTTAGTAAAAAACGACCTCACATAACATGCTCTTTAAAATAGAATTAAATAACCAAACTTTAAACTCCACAAATACTGCTCTAAACCTCACAGTTTATTTGACCAAAAGCCCTATAAAATAGCCTGAGCTTCATCCCAAGACTTATACTCTGCGATTTTGCATTATGGCATAAAGCTGTACTATCTAGAGTCCCTGTTCCTATTGCTGCTGTTTCGATCAATTAGTCTTTAATATCCATCATGGAAGCTTTCCTAGGGCTA